AAACACCCTGAGTTCCTCAAGAAAAAATTTAGGATAGAAAACTATTGTGTTCATTAGCTAAACAGTAAAAAAGAAAATTTCAGGCTCTATAAACAAGAAAATAAAGAGTGACAGATAACTGTTTCCTTAAAGAGAATGCAACATTCCCTACAACAATCCTTTCCTATTATATTAACTGTTACTGACAGTACATTTCTAAAATAGTAATAATATTGGTCTACTCAACAAAGTTCTTATAAATCCTCCTGAGATAGTGTGAAATCTTATCAATAATTACTAAATATTATTATTAAAATGGTATAACCCCAGATGCATGCATGCATTCACACACACACACACGATTATTTAGAGTAATCCTGCACTTAATGCAAATTCAGAATAGAACTCTAAGCTCCACCCACTAGATACAACAAAGTTCACTATTGTTTTTCTGGAACAAAAAGGCCCTTGATCTCTCTTGGGATCATCAATGATCATGCACTTCAATTTAACATCCCATTCATTTGTTGGAAACATAAATGAATCGGAAACTGAAATGAATCTAGGGTTGTAATTGATGAAACATATAGGTGGTCCTTACAGCAAGAAATCTCCATGACAATTCAGTCAAATATCTTCTACATATAGTTGAGCTTCCACTACATTGATGGCCTACAGAAGTTTTTCTAATGTTGAGTTGAAATCAAAGTCAAGCACTGGGTACTGTAACGATTACAGTGAAAAATATTTATCAGCAGATGCTAAAAAAAGGATGAAGGATAGAGAGAGCCTGTGCAAGTTCAGCAAGGAAGCAAAATCTGCAGTGCAGCATCTTTGGGATCCTCCAGAATTCCAAAAATGAAGAGCACTGTTGGCAGAAAATAAGGACCTGCAAAAAGGCACATCAAACATTATTTTTAATTTTTCCAGCATTTTGCAATATAATAGGTTGGGAGGGAGGTCAAAGCATTCTGAAGACAGGAATAGCAGCAAAAGATGTAAACTTAACAGATCATTAACCCTCAGCCTATTAAAATAATGAGCAAAGTTATTCAGAGATCATGACTGAGTCATAGCAGTGGAGGAAAATGCACTCTTTTTCTTTACCTCCTTGTTAAGGATTTGTGGAACATGTAAAATAAAAATTAACATCCTCCATCAAATAGGATGGCACACTAGATCATGGCTAACATTTAGCTTAGAGCAGCATTCTCCAGCTTGTTCCTCTCTAGGTTAGGGGTGGATAGATGAGAGCATGACTTGGTATTTAATTTTTAAAACCCATCCACACTACTGCTAATGTCATGAATGGCTTCTTCTCATCTAGTTTGGCCCTAATAACACTGCAAAGTAAGTACAAAATACTCACTAGTATTTTTCCCACTGAGAACTAACAGAAAGCATCTAACTTTGGAAATGATCAGCAAGATCTGCTGAATTATTCAGCCTATAATACTTCAACACAGTACAATTTGCTCATCTAAGAAACCAGTTAAGTCTTATGGCCATTAGCATGAAACAGAAGGATATGGGAGGGTTATTTTGATGATCCAGCCTGTATAAATTAATTATTTGCCCAAGGTGCAATGGGAATTGGATTACATCTCCAGCCACCAACAGAATCCACTTAAGACACACTCCTAGCAATCTCAATGATGTGATCCCATGGACATTTACATGACCTGTGTTCATAAGGCTAGAGTCTCTCCCATATAATTGGCACTCTCCATTGGGAGGTGGATTGAAAGGAAAAGAGCCCTCCCCTCTACAATACCACTATTAACATATGTGTTCTTGCAATAGTGCTTGAATTATACGGAAGAGGTAGACATAACCCTTCCTACAATTTTGCTGCTTGAGGCAAAGAACAAGACACCCCCCCCCCACACCTCCATTACAAAATCTGGCTGGATTTACTTCAACACTGGCAATGAATCAATGTCCTCTACTTCATCAGAATGCAGAAGTCCAATTTAAGGGTTACAAGACAAACTGTATGGCATGTACTTTTGCCTTCCAATTTCTTGCCACTGCTACTCCAAGCCACTTGAGGCAACTGCTTCACTCTGCTTAATGATCCTTGATAGTATTTTGGGGAAGTGGCTCTTAGTTAAGTTCATAAGCCTCACTCCAACACCTTATTGTTTTAATAAAATTAAGCTTCTTCCCTGTCTTCCAAAAACAATTGGTAAACATAAAAGTTTCTTATCAATATCTGTTGATCATTGTGAAAGAGAACTGTGGATTGGATAGAGTCTTGATCTGATCCAACAGAATTCTTCTTAACTGGTAAGATAGCCACCATTCTGAAATACTGGAGGTATAATTTACAGAAATGGCTCCTGCCCAGCAAGTTAAACAGGAGGAGAAGGTGTGAGACTGTGTCTATTCTATCCAGAGTGTCAGACATGCAATGTTGTGGAGGAAACAAGAACATTATGTCCAAATCACAAATCCAGTAAAAGTGGAAGTTGTACTCTTAAACATCTTCATCATGCCCAAAACAACCCAGTGATTCAATTCAGCTGGGTCTGAGAAATTAATTAATTAACAAGCAATAGACATTTTATGCAAACTTAACTAATAACATAGGCATTTTGCTTGAAACTAAAACATGGATGAGCTTTAACAGATCCAATGTTCTAGCACTCATAGGATGATGGGCGTGTCCTTCTATAGCTCCAGAATCTTGCTACATTACTCTCTGCTCAAATTATTCCAAATAAAAGATCAACACAATTTAAGCAGAGTCCAGGAAACCAGGCAGTTCCTAGGGAAAAAAAAGGAACTAATGGAGGCATTCCAAGACATTTGCTATGAAACAATACAGGATTTAAACTATATTAGCAGTGTAATCCCGCACAGTGGGATTTATACCCAGGTAAGTATAAGATTACAGTACTACCCAAAAGTCTGTTATCCCTGACATACTGGTTACATAAATATGGTTTGAATCAGGAGAACTGGATAGAAGATAACAGTAAATCCTCAGTCTCCATTTGCCATGAACCATCAGTTGGTTTGTCTTGTATTTAAGGTAGCTAAATGTGGGAACAATCATAGAAAGGAAGTGTTCTGCCATTCTTCACGTGAAGAATGACTTCTATTCCACAAGACAGCTATTTGATAATTGCGCTAAAGAAAATGAAGTTGCAAAATCTTTTGTACAACTTATTGTTCACTTTACACAACCTATTCTGCAAAGATAAACACAAATTACTATAGAATTTATATTTTAAAGTAACTATGCAAACTTTGCAGATTAGTGCAAGGAGCTGTATGTTTCCTTCTGCTTACAGTTCTTTGGTTCCAACTCATGATCGTATCTCTAGTGATCCATTCACACTTGTAGATCATCCATGACTTTAGGTTATTATCATGTTTAGGTTATTATCATGGAGAGATAACTATCCATGAGGAGCTCATGTCAAGTGTATAAAATGTATGCTGATCCGGACTAAAACTAAAAGTTCATAAGAAATAGAAACAAAAGTGCCATTCAATCTCAGAATTATCAGCAGAAAGGGACTGGTGTGTGTGTGTGTGTGTGTGTAAGTCACACATACAAACCCTATTAACAAAATGTCAGAGAACATTTACATTCAGCAAATTACGCTACTATGTCTTCCCACACACTTATAGCTCAACTAGAATACGCTTGACAGAAGTTCAAGAGCATTTTCTATTATGCATATGCCAGCTACAATTGGTAATCAAAGACAAACCAGTGGGAGAAATTTATTTTTCTCCTCTTGCCTCTTGTTGAAAAACCTGAAGTTCTTATTAGTATGGTTTTTTAAATTAAAAAGTACTGATTAAAACTAACAGTCTCTGAAGTAAGGCATCCAGTTTATGAAATTAACTGATCTCTCATTCACATGTATCAGTCATTCGAACAGAACAAGCTAGTGTCTGGTATGACCGTTTCTCATGTCTGGCCAGACAAATCTTCTGTAGTTCATAAGACTTAGTTATTCCACAGCATTGCAGCCTTACCACTATGCAGATGATTAGCATTCATAGTTGTCTCAGGAGAAATGCTAGAGAAAGCAGGCTTGGGAAACATTTTCTGCTCTGTGGAATATATGGAACATACGATCCATTAAAAGTTGGCAGCTGCAGCTGATAAAGCTTTACTGCTTATAATCAATGGCCATCATAATATAAATGTTAAAAGGGCTTACTCCAATATATACAAATATTAGCAAAAAAAATGGTAAGAAAAATTCACTCTGGATTTTATAAGGATTAACAGTACATTTATCTTCTCGGAAAACATTTAAGATCAGAAAAAAGAGCCAAAAACGTAAGTCATCCTTTGATCTTTCATATGCTGGATTCAGGTGTTATTTGCAGCTTGAAAAAATGCTTCCTCGCCATTGTAATAAACAAATTACTGTCTGCAAGAAAGGTGTAAGTTAGTGCTAAGATAGATTTATCTGACCTATACAAAGAAATGCACACCTCAGATGGCTCTAGAAATTGGTTGGTACAGTATATAAGCTGTATAAGAATGTAAGTATATAAGCTGCCTTTCACATTAGGGAGCATGCACATACTTCTTCACTTACATACTCAAACAAGCATTTATGCTCATATGTGCTTAAAATGGCACAGAGTACAGAGGCCCAGTTTTCTTTTCCAAAGTAATATGTGACCTGAGAAAAATCATTCTCCCTTCCCCATTTTGTCAACAGAAATTTCAGTCAACTGGGAGCTGTTGGAGGTGGGATTAGGAAGAGTATCCTCTGACTGAAGGTAAGACTGTATCTATTTTGGAAATTATGAAATTACGCAAAGTCCAAATCTTGCAAAAAGTGTGTCAAATCATAGTGATACCCTACCTAGACTATCTTTCCCCAGCCTACTGTCCTCCAAAGATACTGGAATACAATTCCCATCACAGCTATCCAACAAGACAGTCATGCTTACTTGCATGATAGAAGTTGTAATCCAACACATCTGGAAGACAACAGCTTGGAGTAAACTACCAACCAAGCAGTTTTGAAAAAGACACATACCTTCATGTTTTAATGCTAATTTGGCATGGCCTATAGCTTCCCATGGGGATGGAATGTCCAGAAACACCGCATCTGCAACGTTGGTGACGCCAAAGCCATTTTTGCAGACATCCTGGGTCTTGACAGTCACCAAATGCCCCACTCTGTGTTCTTCAAACTCCTCTATGGCTTTTTCAGCTCTCTGTTGATGGAACTCCACTGTATACAGATGCCCTGTTGGGGCAATTGTCCTGATGATGGCATGAGAGAGAGAACCACTTCCAGTTCCTGGGAAGACAAAAACCAAATACATAAATTAAAACAAAAACAGGCAGCTATTGAGAGAGCTAAAGGCAGAACTGCATGGATGCAAGTTGGCAGAAAGTGGTAATCACTTAGTTAATTTGCTAGGATGGAAAGAGAAGTGATTCTAGAAGTTGTTTGGCTCATCTGATTAGTGAGAGGCCACATTTTGCTAAAGAGCAAGCTAACCAGCCTTTCGATTGCAACAACAATTTGTTACACAGTGCCAGATGAATAGGGTATAAAAGGAAAGTCTGCAGCCAGATATTGAATTAGGCAGGTAACCACATAATCACAAAGATTCAGTCCTACAACGTATGGAAGGTGTTCACTTAGGAATTCATAATTATGCCCAAACCAAAAATAATCCACAAATAATTAACCTCTACTTGCATCCTGATAGGGGATGTAATGATTACCCAATAACAGAATAGTCAGATACGGAATTGGTTGTTTGGTTAAAAAAAATCCTCAAAACATTCTCTCTCTTCCTCCAAGATTCAGGTTCTTATGTGGCAAATAAAGTTCCCTCAGTAGCTGAGCAAAGACTACCCCCACCCCACAAAAGTAGGAAAGCCTTCCAATGGTCAGGAGATCTCATATCTTTCTCCAACTGATGCCCTCCCCATGTTCTGAATTCCCTTCATCCTGAATTATTAGCCACTGGCTAGAGCTGATGCAAGCTGCAATCCACAGAACTGGGAAGAATCCAGCTGGCAAAAGGCTGGGTCCCCACCACCTTCTAAACTTCCTCCTCTCCACAATCAGCTGCTCATAAAACCTTACTAACCTTTCTGCCAAACTTTTCTCCATTTTTCTCTTTCATCCCTTTTATACACAAAAGGATGACCCCCAAATCTTGATCTTAGAGATGGCAAATACAGCATCAACATTTTCTAACTCTTACAGAAATAAAAACATGCTTGATTATCCATGTTGGCAATGCCCAAAGAAATCTAAAAAGGGATAAAATTCCTGCAAAAGCAAACAAAGATTTGGAAGGAAAGCTTTGGTGCACTGGATTATACATTCTATACTCAGTAACAAACAAAACAAGATATGCAGCACTGTGAGAATGTACCTCACCTCTGATATACCATGTATTTTAGAATACCGTATTGACTACCCCAGTGTTTTTCAAACTTGGCAACTTCTCCAAACCTTCTCCAAACCTTCTTATCCAGCAACTCTTTGCAACATCTCAAAGCACCATGTCATACCTAAAACACGATCTCTTGCCTCCAGCACTTTGGCTGACTCAGTGTGTCCACAAGTCCTCTGCATTTTACCATAGATCCTACTCTTCAACTGTTTTGCACATAAAGACACTACACCAAGAGCTCATGAGAACAACACGCTCTGTTGAGTCTCTTGCCAGAAGGCACAATTGTACTACTAGGGAGCTGTGCATCCCATTGAGTGTAATGATTCTCCCACCCCCACTGAGTTATCTTTGCCCTTGCTCTGGATCTCTTTGCATTCATCCCCAGAAACAACAGTAGGGACAGAAAGCCACAAGGGCAGCTGCTTGGTTTACCCATCTAATTTTTCCACACTGCAGTCTTCTACATTTTTAATCAGCTGCCTTTTAAGATCTGCTGTTGAGCCACAGGAGAAGATACTGTTCTTGTTTCCTTTCTATAACCCCCAGTAAAACTGGCTGGTTGCCTGGCTCTTGAGATTAATCACACCCCCTGTTTATGCCAAATCCGGAATCTGATGGTACTTTCTGGTTGATTTTATTTTATTTTATTGCCAGGCACTTGGGGTTCTTGCCAACAGGACAACCCCCTGTGGTGGCAGGAAGCAATCTGCTAAATTATCATTAAAAAACTGCCTTGAAAATACATGATGAAGTGGGAGGGGGAGAAGTTACTGTAGCTTAGAACCTAAGAAAGAACCAGCTATTTTTTCCAACACAAACTTCTAGGAAGCCCCAAAACTATTCATGGATGCAATACAACAGCCCTTTTATTTGTCCCCCGCATCAGGATTTCACAGATATGCTGCTCCTGAACATACAGGTTCTAAAGCTGCTTAAATATCTACAGCAAAGGAGGAATACAGTGGGGCAAAAAAGTATTTAGTCAGCCACCAATTGTGCAGGTTCTCCCACTTA